AGTTTTCGGATATAATTGATGTTTGAAAATTGATTATTCGTAACTGGGATCTATTACGTCTAGATTCGTCTATTTCAGCAGTTCTGGCACTAAACACAACGAAAGGAGAAACGGCGTGCCGCCAAAAATGACGATCTCTTTATCAACTCCCGAGTAAATTTAGTTACTCGACATTGAAAGGATTTACATTCGTCACATATATTTTCAGAAAGCACTAAATTACACACGTACCAAGCACGGTAGGAAGTTTGTTACTGGAGCAAAGATCAAGTTAACCGGCTTAACGTCCTCGTGCAAGCCCGTGTTGTTCAGATCGGGATGCCCCGGAAAGAAGGAACTCAGATGGTAAGCATTATTTTTATGGCATAACGTGTACTAGAAAACATGCATTGTATTGTCATGTCCAAAAAAAAACAACAGCCGAAAAAAAAGAGTATCAAGTAGACCACCAAATTACGTGAAAATTCGTTTCATCCCTATAGGCAAATTCCCACAAAAAATACCATTGTTGCTATATTGATATGGTTGTATTTAGATAGATAGATAGATAGATAGATAGATAGATAGATAGATAGATAGAGAGAAAGACTTTCTGATTGATAGACATAGCATTTTGGCAACCTATAAGTAGTCAAGCCATCAGGAGGAAGAGAAAATTTAATTATGCAAGGTCAACATTACAAGATTGGCCACCCGTGCTTAGAACAGACAATAACTTGTCTCTCTCATTCAAACAGTGGTTTATGTCGGAGGTTCATCTCAACGTTAAGACCAAGGCACAATTGTACTCCTTATATTATAATACTACTTTATAAATTGTAATATCATATTTCAGTTATACGACCAGTTTTACGCTTACGTGAAGAGTTGCTTTTGAATTACAAACCCATAAAATGAGGCAGGCCGATTCTTATATCAACAGTCCACTTACAAGCAGAAATACAAAGTTCAGAGCCCTGGTCATGTTGGATTATTCTTTCTCTGTGCTTCATTCCTATCACAGTTAGTCATGTGTAGAAGGGCATCATGCCACAGACGTTTGACTCATATTCCCAACTTGTTGTTTTTTTATTCTCCCTGCATCGGTTTATGAAATACCCACAGCTCAAGGATTTGAATTCCATACATGTAAGCAAACATTCCCGTAAGCAAACATGTAAACGCGAATATTTTGCTCGAGTACAAATGGCAATCTTTGGACCATATCTACTAGTTTACCAAGCTGATGGATGCTTTTGCTCTGAAATATTTATGAACTTACTTACTTTAAAAACTTTTTTGGTTTTTATGCCCATGCGTCCATGAAACTAAAGGTATTTATTTATTGTTTTAAAACAACCCTCAATCAATAATCCGTCTGGAACTGTTATGTAAAATATTATTTACAGGCCCGTAGCCAGCTATTTCAAAAGGGGGATTCTTTTTCTTAAATGAAATGAATTTCGATCATGAAACTTTTAGGATACAGATAAAATTTTTCTCAGAGGGGACCTTTTCCGGAAAAAGAGGGGTTCTTTCGAACCCCCTGAACCCCCCTGGCTACGGGACTGATTTATATTATAATAATAATGTTTACCTTAATTTATCTAAAACAATGTTTTAAATGAATAATCCGTTTACTGACAATAATTTGATACTTGAAATTTATGTGCTTTTTATAAGCAAGCGGAATAAAACAAAAAGGCTATCTTCCTTCCGTTATCCCGTTATTATCTGTATTCAGTTATGTCATATTTTTGATTATTATGGCTATCATTGACTGTAGTATGCCTAAAATCAAACTGGTCGAGAATAGAGCCGCAGTTAAAGTGCACATCATGGGTGTAAGGCCTTCATAATGCAAATATATATAAAAAACATCTGAAAATGTTAACACTTATCCCTTAATTACCAAAGGCGTTAGGCCTAAATATTGAGAAAGTTTTTACAATTCTAAAAAATTCAACACTTATCACTTAATCCACAAGGTCGATATGCCTCTATATTGCAAAAAAATGGTGGATGTGACCTATGGCAATAAAAATTTAAAGTTTGGAACTCGATATAGCTCTAAAGATTTCAATTTTCTCAACAATATACATTGGTCATGACGGTGAAGTTTTCTGAAATTTCCGGAAATGTATTTAATATATAAAAATTAAATTGATATTGAACGCGTTTCATAGCTTGGTTCAATTTGAGCGCTTGAAGCACTAGCCCGAGTTAAACCAGTCCCGAAACAACGGTTTTTGAACTAAGTACAGTAAATTTTTAGCAGATAGCTACCCGTGAATATCACTGGTAGCAATAATAATTTTAAGTCTCCTAAAATATATACAAAGTGTATACGTATGACAATTTATATTTGGTATTTCATTTCTGTAAATCTTTTCCAGATGCTTTGTGACGTTTTCTGTCAATTGGTCGTGTGACGTTTCTTATTTTTTTTAGACATCTAGTTGTTACAGGTCTTTGATTTCATTAACCACAAGAACAGCTATTTATCTGAAAAAAAAAAATAAGGACACGCCACACGATTTGCATTTGCAATAGGCACGTGATGTGCATGCATGTGATCTTGGTTTTTTTCCACAAACAATGAAAGAACACATCAATTTATTGAGCTCAATTGAACATGCACATATATTATTAACACTGAACATACAAAGTCGGTCAAATCCATAACTTTTTTTAAAAAAATTCGTCCAATTAACCTTGACCCATCCGGAAAACCAACTGCCACGCTTTTCAAATTTCTCGAATTTACCATTTCTATATATAAACTACGCATCACCAGAAATGATATCCGTCTCTGCCTTAAAGGGATAATAATTCTTCGTTTTGGCCAAAAAATGAATTTTCCTGGAGTAAACAACAATTTCCCCATACTTACCAATGGTAAATGAATCCATTTTTACTTTCAAAGTTATTCCCTGGATTTTTTCTAAAAAGTTTGGTTTTTTGTTAAAATCTCTTGAAAGATTTTAACAGAGAATAGCCATCAATGGAGGTCACCTGGTCTAAAGACAAGCTCAGATATCATAATAATAGCTATAAATGCCGTTTTTGTGGTAAAACAGAATATATTATGTTTCAATGAGTTATTCACAATGTTTTTATTGTGAAATATATATCTCCTACGAAGAGTTATTATCCCTTTAAATAGACACCCACTTATTGGATCGTTTTATACATGTTCGAAACTGCACTTCGAGGATATAGACAAAGCTAGTTTGACGGCGCTAGCCTCGACCTTTGATAGGCCATCAGTGCAACAAGTCTCTTCCTCTTTATAGGAAACGTCTTTGTACAAGATGGTATCGTTATGTTAGTATAAAATTATTTCTTAATAGTAAATTTTAATCTTAAAAGATTAGATATGCTGCCCGTATCGAGATGTTCAGCTTCTGAGTTTGGTTTTATACAGTATTGCAAACTATGATTTTGAACATTTTTTTAAACCTGTCTTTGTCACATTTGAGGGGATTTATTAGGGGTTATTGTCAACATAATCAGTTTAGTATATGATTTTATAATGCGTTTATGACTGGCTGCGCATATTGACGACATCTACAATGTACAGACAAATTTTCATAGTGTGAACTGCAAAATTGTACGGAGAGAGATAAAGAGAGAGAGAGGGGGAGAGCGAGTGTTTGAATGAACAAACGGCATGATTACACATGTAAGTCCTATCCTTGTCAAAGAGACCAATGTACTCGATCTGCCACCAGTATCGTTTAAAAATTTTGTATTTTCAGCTTCTTCGCGTTCGGCTCCTCCATGTTTTCGGCTTCGTAGGTAAGTAGGACACTTGGTATTTCGAACGTAGTCTGCTTAGTTTCAGCTTTAATCTTTCATGGAAATCATTGGGTCCATACTCATTTCTCAAAGCGTTTCTGGAATTTTAATAGTCCTCACGACAATACTAAAGCTATCAATTCCATTTGTTCAGAGCCACTTTAGAATGAAAGCTTTAAAGGCAACATAGATAAATAATATACCAGTTTTATCAGACAAAACTCCTTTTGTTTTAAACAGATAATCCGATCACCATTACTTATACTAGTTAAATCGATACGCATAGAAGTATTTGGTTCCACTTTCCTTTTGGTCAATCGTTAAAATGTAAAGGTCAAGTGATGATCCAGGTGTCCAGTCTCACACGAGATAGTACCCTGTTTCCATGTAGACCTATTGTGTTGCACTTATCTAGGCTTATTTTGATTATGGAGCGGTGAAATATTTATTGAATGAAATTTGGTATTTAGTTTGCATGTACTTTTATGTGCACAGTGAAATATGCACCGTTCCCTTTCAGGTTTGTTTAGATTGAATGAAATGTAATACACTGACACCCTTTAATTGTAATTTTGATCTCAATTGAACGTCATTTGTATCATTATTTCCTTTTTAACTTTTCAGCATTCATTTCCACGGTCGCTGCTGGTAAGTAATTAACTCACACAAAAGGTGATGATCAGTACTTAATTATCTCAGTTTCCATATCAAAAAGAATTATAATATAACCATAGCAGCGCTGTGTTTACCTGGTAAATTGTAAGAATATTAATATAAAATATATTGTATTGGCGATGCGCCAATTCAACAATCCCCAAATTCACAATCAATTGAGCGTTATGTACTCAAGTATCATATATATGTATATGTACGTTAATTATTTACTGTGAACCATCTTACGGAATTCCAACCTCTGAAACAGAGATACCGCCGTCTCTGTTTACTGCTGCGCATATCTAATCTGAAAAACCAAAGCAAACATCGACTTTTGTTCTCCAAAGTCAATCAATCAATCGGGGCCGTATAAATTGTTTAAATAAGACGACCTGCGCGCCTACTGACCGGCTTATTGAAGGAAGTACCAGTCTAGGATCCAGGTGATACGCTCTACCAGGGCCACAGATTGATTTTTTCACTAGAAATTCCCATATATGTCTCTGTTAAAAGTAACGTTTATTCTCTGTACTGTGACACTGAGATAAAATTTCAAAGACGATTACATGGCTGGTAATTCTTAGTCTAACTACTCAGCCACTGCCACTTAAAAGTCCCTGCCAAGTCCCCCTGAATGCAATCAAGGCATTTTATTGCTCTAATCTAAATTATTTCCTTTTCTGTGACAGACAAAAAATAGACCCTAATGAATAGCTTGCTAGTTCAGATTTAGGCCAGCTGAAGAATCCCCTGCATTAGTTGTGCAAAAAAGTTATTCCTTTTAATCTTGAAAATGAACTGAATTAACTTTTCATTCTTTGAAAAGAAAAGCCTCTTTGTCGGCAGCTAGCTTGAAATCTCTTGATAAATAGGCCTACTACCGTGTATAGTGCATAATCGCAAGAGTGATAAGCAAGCCAACCCAAGTTCGTTCAAGGCGGCAACCAATATAAAAACGACTGATAATTTCATTGACGACACTTCGTATGGATGGTGCTCTGCTACGATTAAAGGATAATTTGGTTTATTTACTCTTTCGGCATCTGACGACAAACCATTATTCTTACAACTGCAGTGCGGAATTGTGGGATATGGGGTGTGCGCATTTTTTGGAACCCCATCAAACCACGTGACTTGTTTTAGCAGACAGACGAGAAAAAGCTTGCATAACGAGTTTTAATCACATCGGCTCGAAGCCCAGCTCCCACAATACCATCTGCACGCGTGCAGTTTTGACTGCTTCCGTCTGACCAAAAGTAACAGGGTCGCGTCTGAGAAAATATCCACATAATAAAAACTGCTCGCCTGGTAGAGGGGGGGGATAGATCGAATCAGCCTTTCCCCGGAATAAAGGTCCGCTGCGGGTAAAATTTTATCTACATGTACATGTGAGTTTTCCAGGTAGAATATTCACTTTTTTCTGAACAAAAAAAACCCTCCTCTTTAAAATTGCTTGCTACGGCGCTGAGTATTGATCTTTTTAAAAAGGATATTAAACTCTCCATGTTAGCTTATCTAATCTGTGGAAAATATAAAAATGCTAGAGCGCGCACACGTGCCTTTTGAAACCTTGTAGAAGTTTAACGTATATACGTACATAAAATGCGTTACTTTGATTCAATGTTATACATGTATGAACATAGCATTGAATCTACATGTATTTTTCTTGAAAGGATAGCAAAGAAAACAGTGTCTTTCATGAGTTGCAGTTTCCATCCTGCTCACTTCTTTAATTTTTCACCAAGCTCCATATTTTTAGTTTTTAAGGGTGATAAATGATAAACTTTTTATAAGCTTTCAGAGTTCTATAATAAAGGACGCTTTTAGAGTAACTTATTATCAATTATGCAATTTCATATATTTATTGGCTAAATTCGCTTTTTTTTCTTAATTACCTTTCCCATGCAAAAACTCGCCTCTTGATGATTTTTAATTTTGAAATCAAAATGGCTCAAGTTTCGTGAAAAAGGATTCATTCCATCTTAAGTTAGCGCATTTGTGAAAAACAAACACATTTGGTGTTAACACATACAGAGAACCTATAGACAAAACATTTGTATTTCAGGCACTATCCATTCCTGTGACTTCGACACTGATAACTGCGGCTACCTAAGTCCAGTTAGCAATGATTTCGACTGGGAGAGAAATTCAGGATCCACATCTTCCACTTCCACGGGACCCTCCTCTGACCACACGACAGGCAGTGGCCATTACATGTTCACAGAGGCCTCTGGCCCAAGTGTAATTCACGTTTTTTATATTTTTGAAACATTTATACTAACTTTTGTAGAAAATTCACAAAATGCGTATTATTAGCTCCATATTACGCATTTACGTCCATGTACCTCTTATGTTCCATACTATTTGTGTTCATCCCATACGCACTCATGCCTTAGGAAATATAATTTAAACAGACGATCACAAAACTTAGAACGAAATAATAAAATATCTGAACTAAAATTGAAATCTATATGCCACTGTTGTAAAGTAAAAGAAAAAGTACGAGACCAAAAAGAATATCTTTTAAAAAGATAAAATCCCCTTCATTATTAAAGTTTCAATTTCCCTCATACAGATAGACTTTTTTTTAGGTATAGGGGTACTCTTTGGGAAAATTTATCCACGCACTACGTGCACATGGATAAACATATGTGTACGCATGCGCTTCCATATTCATTTTGCCACTGTATAGCCTCCAATGATATACGTACGACCTTTACTTCTTTAACTTCAGCTAGGTGACATAGCAGCACTGCTGACCCCAACCATTAACACTACCAGTGGTCAGGTGTGCGTCTCATTTTGGTACCATGCGTATGGAGCAACGCTTGGTGAATTACACATGAGCGTTGTGACGTCATCGGTTTATATGACGAGGGACTTTTCGTTTGATGATGGTACATCAGAAAATTTGTGGAAATATGTAGAAGCATCTGCAATGCTGACTGAGACTTCTTTTCAGGTAATAAATATATGAAACGAGTTCTTTATAATTACGCACATAAACGTGCATTGCCTCTACCTTGCAGAATGCAATACACCCAGATATTTGTGAAGCGCAAAGAGTTTCAATTGCATTTTATTTTTCCTGGATGTCCTTTTATTCTCTGCAAGTCAATACAAATATGAATAACTCTAATACTAGAACTTACATTTTAAGCAAATCACGTGAGACCTTTCATTAGCTCAAGGACCTGGATGTACTGGTCAACCATCCAGGTCATTTCATGTACTGGATGGACTGACCAGGTTGAGAACGCGACGTAGATTATACTAAATGCTAAATGTAAGTTCCAGTATTACAGTATTACTGCTGGATGACTAACAACATTCACTCAATATGGCAATATGTTACTTAAGTCATTAGTTCATGAAACGAAACCACGAAAACGAAAAAGGGGATACTATAGTCAGTGTGTAATTTATACAGATGTATATAGCGGCATACGATTAAGTAATTTCTAAAGGACACGACAGGATGCAAGGCAATCTTGGTTCTTTCTGAGTGTAAGGTCTTCGTATGGCAATATAATTTTTATACCATGGTGAAATTTTTTTGTGTTTTAATACTTAGGTGTTGATTTTTATTCACATGCAAGGTAATTATGAACCGGCGACCAAAGTAAAACGGCTTTTACCATATCAAATATATCCTTCTCGAGACAACGTGTGTTCTTCTCTCTTTATCTTTATGTCAGTGACATTGTTTCTTTTACGCAGGTCAAATTCGACGGCATACGGGGCAGCAATTACTATAGCGACATAGCTATTGATGACGTCACCGTTAACGATACGATTTGTGCAGGTAATGTATCTATTTGGCAATTGTGGTTCCATAAAGTTTGTTTTTAGTTTTATTTTACATATTTTGTCTTTTACTTTTTTTGCAATGGGATCACTAGTATTATGGGATCACTAGGACATTTTCACCCGGACCCCTGGAAAACTCTCCCCTGGACAACCCCCTGCTGTCATGAATATCATATTGAAAATGAACTATGTGATGTCGAGAAAAATATGCCTGCCTTTAAGCAAAATGGATCTCACTCGTCCAGGTATCGTTTTGATGAACTAACTGACACTTTTAATTGCCCCCCTTAATCACGTTACATGCCTATAATTAAGGTACATCCCCAGGTAGAGATGGGCTATACAAATAATTTCACTCATCGAGGTATAAGGTAATATATCCCTTGAGGAACTAACTGTCAGTTTTACTTGTTTCACCACTATACCCCCAACATAAAAAAGAAAGTCTTTCCAAACTTGTTCTCTTCCTGTATCTTCCTGAATCTTACAATTGATGGCCAACCCTTTTGTTTTTAATTCATTTCCTGTCTTCTTTCTAATGTCCAGTAAAATATTCAAGAAATCTATAAATACGTCCAATGGATAATTCAAAATCCATTGTCTTGGAGGAAATTGTCCTAGAACCAATTTTGGCGAAAGTGGAACTTACATAATTCTATTTGATCAAGAAACAAAACGAAATTTATCAAACAGAACCGGCTTTCACGAAATGTTCGCAATTTGCGCAGTTAAACAAAATCCCATTTTATAAAAAGATAATTTCATGAACGTTTCGCCGTGCAATTTTTGCGCAAGGTATAGCGCTATTTGCGCACAATATTTGGAACAGCTTCGACCCTGTCGCAAAGTCTTCCCTATCTCTATATATAAACCCATTAATGACATTACTGTTTACAACCATTTGTTTTCCAGAATGCACTTACAAACTTATCGGGAAATATAGAATTTGATGCTTTATATAATTATCCGTATATAACTAAAACGAATAACCGCTTTCTTGCTCTCAGGTCATGTAGGGTCTGTCAGCAACCTAGTCGTAACTGCGCACAACAACACGTCAGCATCGCTTTCGTGGGACCCACCTACCATAGGTTTGGACAGTCTTCAAAATTTCATAGTTGAGGCGTACGACTGCATTTTTGCGGAAACACCACAGTTGACGATGAATGGAATTACCCAGACATACGCCACAGTGAGCGGGCTTAACCCAGATAACAATTACGTGTTTGCTGTATACGCCAATGGTACTAACAACCTAGCCAGACCGGCAAACGTTACACAAAGGATTGTTAACAACCAGAGTAAGTGGCGTTGGTGTTACCGTTACCTAATAAGAGCCCTAAGCAAAAAGAAAAGTTTGTTGCAACATGCTGCAACACTGGTGCAAAAAAGCAGCAAATTTGCAAGAAGGAGTTTGCAGAGGATATGCTGCAAATTTACAGCAGGCCTGGTATTTTGCAAAGGGTGCCCTTACCAAAATGAAAAGATTGCAGCAACGTTGCGGCAAAATTGCAGCAAAATTTGCTGAAAATTAAAAGCTTGTGGCAACTACATGTAGTTTGCAAGAGTTAGTTTGCAAGAAAATTTGGTATTGCTCCTAATTTGCAGAAGATTTGCAATAACAACTGAAGTTTGCAGCAGGTTTGCAAGAAAGTCTTTATGTTCTGGCAAATTTGCGACAAATTAGCAGCAAATGTGCAAGAACATATATAATTTGCAGTAAGTTTGCAAGAAAGTGTTCAAGTTATTGCAAATTTGCAGTGAATTTGCGAGAGAATTTGCAACAGACCTGATATTTTGCTAAGTGTGTTGTTCGGTTTTGTTGATAAAGAAAGTTAAACTAGATGAAATAGTACATTTCTAAGTGAAAACATATTCAAAGTCAGCAGGTCTTGGCTTAGATAAAGCCTATTAGATACGTTAAGGACCAATCACGCATAATCATTAAACACGAACACAGTTCATTCGGGTCAAATTGCGTACACAAATGCTCTAGTTTAAGAACTTTGACACCGTTTTGAAAAGGTAAATGACGTCACACTCAAAACGTCTATTGCATTATATTTAGCATATTTTAATAGTTAAGAGCAAAACGTTACTTATTTCCTTTTTTTCTTTCGATATTTAACATGTTCAGTTGGCGTAGTATTTATGTTTTCATGCAGTTGTTTCAAACCGGAAACCGTCTACCAAACTGTAGACTTTGAAAGAAACTGAAAATGTACGCCAAAACCACAATACGCGATAATGAAAATAATTTAAACGATGTGTTTTTCTTGTATTAACAACCTTTTTGAATTCAGTCCCTGCGTTTCAACAAATGCAGTGATATCTATAAAATGACAGTGATGACTGCATGGTCCATGTACACCTTTACATTCATTTCAGCATTGCTGTTTAGCTGTGACTTTGACAATGACAACTGTGGCATTTGCGATATGGTGCAGGACAACACTGACGACTTTGACTGGAAAAGAAATCAAGGATCAACGCCGACTTCCTACACCGGCCCGAGTTCTGATCACACTACAGGAATAGCAAGCGGGCAAGGAGCGGGCTACTATTTATTTTTTGAGAGCACTAGCCCCGTCCTGGTAAAAAATTCTTTTTTCGTAAAGATAAACTGTTATATTTAACACTGCTGATGGGTATAGGTAGATATTTTAATGGTTGCCCGACATATTTTGTTTTATGTGTATTCAAACCTAAAGAAACGTGCCAATTGCATAAACACGTTTGCGGGATCATTTAGATGTACTTTTATTTCCGACAAATACTAGGGTTCATATATATAGCAAGCTTCCATGTGTGTACGATAGTTTCTGGAATAAAGTTGAAAACTATAAGGTGTATTTAGGTCAGCTCTTTATAGTCAGCTGGAAGAAGTATGCTGTTCATATTTTATTATACCACGGCAAATCTGAAAATACTAGTTTAAACTGGAGCCTTTGGATTTAATTGACTTTTATATATGAGGTCATTGTAGAGGTATTCGTTTTCAAGTTTTATTTGCGTGTATTTAACCTGGTATTTCTTTGGCGAATAAGAGCGACACTGAGCCGCTTCTATATACTTACGATTTTCTTCTTCTTCTTCTTCTTCTTATTATTATTCTTTGGAAATTTTGAGCACTGGATGGGTTTGATTAATTTAAAAGGTAAGTCCGCTTTTTTTCAAAATTTTTTGGGCTTATTACCAATAAAACTATCTGTCTTCTTAGATACATCCAACTCTGCGGGGACTCTCGCTGAATGCAATCAGATTAACATATTAAAAAGTCTCCTCTTGTAGTATAACCACCAGCTTTTCTGTATTCTACTCAACACCAGGGCCGTAATGTAATCACTAAATCAGCATATTCAGCGCGAGTCCGCGTGGAGTTAGACTGATCTACGTAAACCGATAGTTTCATAGAAAATGAGCCCGTCGTTTGCTATCGGCATCGAATTTTTCTTTGAAATTTCGGTCGTCCAACTTCGTTGTCAACGACTGTTACATAACGCAGTCTGATTTCGTTTCAGGCCGACGATCGGGCTAGAGTGACAACCCCAACTGTCAACACCACCAACACCCAAGCGTGTCTTTCATTTTGGCTTCACGCCAAAGGCAGATATTTGGGCGTTTTTAATGTAAGGATTGTGACGTCATCGGGGATTGACGTAAGGACCATAGCGCAGAACCCCTCGTCGGTTGACAGCTGGGTGCAAACCATGGTTTCGATAGAAGAAGACAGTTTTCAGGTATCGAACAGGATTCAATATCTGCGCTACGTTAACACATTGATTTATCGTTAAGGGCCTGCTTTAATACCATATCACATGATCGAAGCACAGGATTCAAACGTCTGTGCATGTATAAAGAGCGAACTGTTTGACATAAGTGTTGAAATTGTCAAAGCCTGCCGGTGTTTACATTCTGGAATTTTTGGTTTAATTTGCTTTATGGTGTCATTTAAAAAAATATATATATATATATATATATATATATATATATATATATATATATATATATATATATATATTAAGAGGTAAACCCATCGGACTTTGTTATGTGCTTTAATGTTTTTTTTATTATTATTATTTACAATTTATCAGTTCATTACTTCCAATACATATACTTCCAATTCCCATTTGAATATTATAACAACCTGCAGATGATGTAGTGTGTTGGCTGTTGCATGCCCTTAATTCTTTCTTTTATACTTACATATATATATATATATATATATATATATATATATATATAGATCCAGTTTGAAGCAATTGACACCGCCAATGATGAAAGTGATTTTGCCATCGACGATATTGTCATCATTGATGGTTGGTGCGAAGGTAAGTTCTGTATTACAAGTTTTTTTTTTTTCTTAGTGGACTCACAGGCGTCACATGCAAATATTGAAGAGAATTTTATGTAATTATGCGTTTGTAAACATAAGCTGCGTGATGACAACAAACGCATTTAAACAATAATGCTTACACACACATCAAGTGATAAAGAGAGAAAGAGACAGATGGAGAGATCATTCCATATATATATATATATATATATATATATATATATATATATATATAAGTGACTGACTCAAGCATTTTTTTAAATTTGTATCGCAGGCCATAGCAGCGGCATTCGCAATCCTGCGGTAACGTCTGCCAATGATAGCTCCGTGACCATCCAGTGGACAGCGCCATTACTGGGAAGTTCAGATGTCCAACAGTATACAATCTTAGCGTATCAGTGCATGAATAAGACGTCAGCAGATCACGTGGTGTCTTCTAACTTCACTTCCGTAACTTTAACTGGACTGGCCCCCTACTCTATGTGGACGTTCTCAATACTTCCTGTGACGGCAGTGGCAAGTTTTCCAGAGACTGTTAATATCACAGGTTGGACACGGCCCCCTGGTACGTAAAGAGTTTTATAAATTAGTTTTCGATATTTCACTTTGAGACTCATTCCAATATAGTAAGGCGAGATATGAAAATATACAGAATGATGTTTTTTATTTGGATGAAATTTAGCATTGGATATCTTTTTCATCTAGCAAACATATTACTTATTACGATGTTAGTGTTTGCACGAATGTGAAAAGAAACATTCTTATTATATCATGGCGTCTTAATGTTTAAAAAGCACGGTAACTCGCAGAGCTGCATGTAAATCAACACGTTATTATACTGTTGTACCTGATTTTTAGACTCATATAAAAATAATAGCTGAGTAAGATCTAGGATCCTATAGGTTCCACTGATAACACCGCTGGTTTGTAGATCAAACCCATAATTGTCAGGAAAAACAACAGCGCTTAGAACGCTTCCAAAATTATTTATTCTATATTCATACAGTACTACATCTCATGTAAACCTACTGTCACAGGTGCATGTTGTGAACTAGTAACTCTCGGTATTTCAGAGGTAAATCTTTTATCCTTGCGTAATCGTGTTTCCCCGATACGTCCTTGAACTGTCCCGGTCCTAGGTCTGAATTACAATGCACTTCATTATGATAACAAATAAGTGCATAAAGGGTCCTAAAGCAAAGTGATGTCATTGAACAATACTGCCAGAAAAGACAACAGCGCCTAAAACTCCTCCACAATCATCCGAAACAGCCATGCCGCATGGCCCCGATTTTTCTTCTCTCCCTTTTTTTTTTTTTTTGATCTCCCAACCCAGGAGAGCTTAATTCTCTGACAACTATGATAAAATTATATAGGGATAACGACTGTTTATTTTGTCGAGAAAAGTGTCATTATACGGATTTTCCTGGGTTAAACTACGATTTCCCCATATTATCCAATGGTTATTGAATCCGTTCCGACTTTCAAAGCTAGTCCAATATTTTATAATCTCTTAAGAGATTATTATAAAAAGTAGTCTTGTATGAAGGTCCAATGGCAAGCACAGATTCCAGAATAATTGCGATTAGTGCCGTTTTGGTGGTAAAATGGGATTTATTGTATTTTTGTGAATTGTTTATAATGCATGTATTGTAAAATATGAATCTCATACGAAGAGCTGTTTCTAATTTAAACACCTAAACAGATTTATGTGAATGAACACACTATAAACACGAGATTACAACAAAAATGCTCATGGGTAAATCACCATATTATCTTCTAGACACTGCCCACGTGTGTAATTTTGACTGTGACACGTGTGGGTACGTCCAGGCCACGGACGATGAAATGGATTGGGTACTCAACTCTGGGTCCACGCCCACCTCTAGCACCGGGCCTACTGGTGATCATACCACCGGAAGCGGAAATTACTTTTATTTCGAGGTGGACGGAGGCTCTGTAAGTGGGTTCTTTTAATATGTCAGTAACAACAAAATTGACGACTTACACTTGACCACCTTATGTGCAGAAGGGTGGAGAATAAAACCTTAAAATGATATTTTTACGAAGATGTTTATTTTATTGATATTAAAACAAGTATTATATATAAAAGAAACGAGAAAATATTGCTATTTCCCTGATTATTCAGTTGGTTGTTTATTTATCAAACACCCTTAAAATTTTGTAAATTTTGTGATTGTTGTTTTTATAAAGAATGGTGATAGCGCCCGCATCAAGACGCCCCTCATTAACGTTACTACCGGGTGGGCGTGTCTTTCGTTCTGGTATCACGCCTACGGGATCCACCTGGGGGAAATGAGAATCAGGATAGTCAACGCTACCAAGAACACAACCACAAAAATCGCAGACATCAATTCGAATAACAATGCTTGGGTCCAGTATGAGGAAGTGGTGCCAATGGGCTCTGCGCCATTTTGGGTAAGTCTATAGGAGTTTCAGATTTACTTGACACAAAGTGCTTATGATTTAGATATAATTCTGAAATCAAACATTCTCAGTTGCTATTTTTGTCACATACAATTCCGTTATTTCTCCTTTAAACATGATTGACTTGAGATTGGTGTAGTAGGAGTTAAGATAGGAGATATATTTGTTTTCGGTAGATCGAATTTGAAGCCCAAAGAGTGCAGTATTCACAAGGTGACTTTGCTTTTGATGACGTCAGTGTATTGGACGGTTACTGTGAAGGTAAGGCGTACGGCACACTAGACAATTTTGTATAGCAATTTTTGTGGGAGCTCACGCCTGTAAATATCAAATATGCCATATTCGATTATGCACACGTTTGTATTTTGGCATTTGCCTTTTTAATATTTCGTCTACTGTCTATCATCTTGGAAATGATCCCCCGTTGATTCCAGTCAACATCTTTCAATTAAAAAACACCTTAATCACATACCAGTTCATTTTGTGTTCCTCTAAACATATACCGAACTAGTCCATCACACATTCTAGGTCACTGTGGGGAGATAGCAGACCCTGTATTCGTCACCAGCAGCAGTAATACAGCCACCCTATCGTGGACCGCTCCAGTTTTAGGATCAGAAAACGTACAGTACTATACAATAGACGCTTTCAAGACCTGTGCTTTTGACAGAAGTCGAGGCATACCTGAGAGTCCTGCGACCTCTTCGAATGCCACGTCGTCCCCCGCCGTCATATCTGGACTGGAGTCGGGGACACACTACACCTTTGTCGTCACTCCTGTCTGCACCAACGCACAAACGTCTGTGAATGTGACGGGGTGGACTCAGAACGAAATAGGTATTTGTTTGGCAACGTGCACGCACGTGTGGTGATGTACTGAACGCGTGTGGTAATGTGGTCGTACATACATGTACATATTTATTGTAACTAGTTTGTGTGCCTGCCGGAGGTGTGTGTACAGTTTACTTGATTATTGTCCCATTGCATGAAGACTATCGTAGCAGGTACTCCTATGAGAGAAGCTACCAATTTTATTCATATCATTTGTCTGTCACTCTTCAAAGGTGTCTTATTTTCGTTCTCATTGTGTGTGTTTGGCACATGTCTGGGTGTCCAGATATATATGCCTCCTCAACGATTAAAAATCAGAATTGCCGTTTATATAATTTTTCATTTATGTACACATTTATTATTCTTACAAGTACATGCGGGGCGGGGTTGGGAGCCCCTGCGGCTTTTTGGTAAGGTTAGTTTCCGGCTTCACTGTATTATTTTTATATTGTAACGAAGTATATTTTTCTTTCAGGTTCCTGTAATCAGATTATAGAGGACACGACCACAACGGGCTTTATCACCTCTACAAACTTCCCGTCCAATTACAACTCCAGTCAGGAATGCACGTGGCTCTTCTTCGTGCCGGCAGACGGGACGCAGAACGTGGAACTGCGCTACGAGTCCTTCGCCGTTGAGGATGGGTACGATTTCGTCAAGGTAACATTTACTTATTATTTAGTTTATTCCCACCTCAGGGGTGAAAGACATACAAGAATACATAAATAAAATCGCACACAAATTTCCCATAGTGAAATCACATAGTAAAATTGTTCTAATATAGGTAATAAAATCATTCTAGAATGTGTTCAAGTTAAAATATAAGACAGGGAAGTATTAAAAATGAATAAAAAAGGTAAATATGGCGTATGAAATAGTCAAACCAATAGAGCCAATTCATTCTTATTATCCAGTCATTTATTCATCTTTTTATGGTACTTGTTAGCCTGTGTACATGTACCTGTACACAATTTCCCCCTTTTGAAGTTGATTTGATATAATGAAACATATATCATGTGGACATTGGGAATCAACAGTTCTTTTCCAAAGTGAAAATTCGGATTACAACTCCAAACCGTCTACAGATACATGCAGAAAATAATTAAAAAAATAAACCACAAGTATGCTGCAAACTCCACAAAATTGCACCACATTTTCCAAGCATAGTTTTGCATGGGTACTGGGGAGAAAGTAATTCTGTCACCCTACAGTTAGATAGATCTGTATATGGTATTTGTTGCAATATTACACAATAACGATCTCGTCCCAGTACTTAACTTTTAAATCCCAAGCACATTTAGCTTACATTCCTTGGAATAATCTAATAACACGGTCACATTTTAAAATAGGATACGATCGGAAGAACTTGCCCATATCTGAATGATCCTTTGCCTTCCAGATATACACTGATATCTGCGACTCTTCTCCCAATCACACGGATACCGGGGCCGTTGCCGCTAATAAACTACTCCGTGCCGTCTCTGTCTTTGTCGTCGCATTTGAGTCAGACCATGACACCGAAGAAAGAGGATTCAACCTGACATTCGACAGTAGGTGCCGTTTATGTGTGAGAGCATGCTTGCATGCATGAATGTGTGGGTCAGCAGTTACGTGTTAATTAATTATCTAATCTGTCCTCTTTCAACTTCCAATAGGCGTTGCAGGTGTTTTTCCTTTTCCTGCCATACCAGGATAAGCGGATTGTGTATTTATTTTTCTGAAAACAATTTAATTTATTATTATTTATTTTTCAATTCACTCATTTCTCATTCCAGCCAACTACAATGCACTTTACAGAGAGCTAACAGGGAAGATTGAGCCGGAAGGATACCCGGTAACGTATAACCCGAACATGGACGAAACATATACCATCCGTCCGTCACAGACCTTCCCTAATACTGAAATTCTTCTGAACTTCACTGATTTTGACCTTCAAGACTCATCGAATTGTTCAAGTGATTATTTACAGGTATGTTGTAATTCTAATTTAACGTTAAACTTAATTGTCGGCGGACTCAGCATAAAAAGGCCTCGATATTCTTAAGGATGTATTTGTGATCAGGAATGATGGGCAATACCTACAAACATATGATTGATTGGGTGGTTAATTACAATGCAATATCTACGAGAATGTTCCAAACAAGCACTGTTTTCCGAGTATCTATGAATGCCGTTAACATGCCACATAGTTCATTGCAGCGTATGGTGACAATGTTCAAAATAGACATCAATACAATGAAGTTAACACATAAGTACCCGTTTTAGGTTGTTGTAAATTTCGCAGTTGTGACCACGTTCTGTGGCAATTCCCTCCCCAATGAGACGGCTCTTCTGGCGACGGAGGTTACTTTAGTGTTCCACTCCGACGGCATCACACAGGGCAGAGGGTTCAGCGTCACCTTTACAGGTAGGTTTACAATGGCGCGTTGCACTGCAAAAAATGACACTTGACCTTTTTTTCTGGAGCTGTTGCACAAATAAAATAAAAGACGCTAGACTTAAAATTAAAAGTTTTAGTTTTATTTAGCAAGATATATCAGCACCAATCCATTTAATGGCATATTATTACTATTTTAATTTATTTTTTGTTAGTATTACATTAGCATATACGGTAAATAAGATTATAGATCTTAACATTTTGAGCTACTGTATTGATTAATTGAGTAGTTTATTAATATGTTGGTTCATCGCTTAGCCTGCTGATGAAGAATGAGTGAACACTGATACATTTGAAATATTAGAATATTGAACTGTACCGGAACATATATAAGCTTTAAGTCTATGGTCACATTTGAAATTGTCAAAACTTTTGCTATGAAAATAATCAATTTCATTTAAAGGCCAGGAAGATGTTGATGAAATAACGTTGTTTGCGATTTAATACAAAAGTAGAGAATGTAAAATGATTTCATATATGAACACATCGAACTTGTTATTGTTTAATACATGGAATTTAAAGACATCATTTCGTTAAGTCCGGGAAGCAATCCAGACCACCACAGAGACGCTGACAACTACAGCAGAGGAAACAACCACTGAAGATGTCACCACGGTTGAAGCTGTTACCACGACTGAGGCCATGACCACCACTATGGCTACTACCACTACTACTCAGAGTAAACACTGCCCTCATTTATTTATTTATTTTTATATATTTTTCCATATATTTATTTTTACTATAATTATTTTAATTTATTCTATTTGTAGTATTTTTCATTGGGAAATACGAAGACAATAACCCATGAACTTTTTCCGCTGTGAGGCAACACGTTTTTTTGCTTCCATTGTTGAAAGTAATGTACGACTTAAATGTGAAAATTGTTTCCGTTATTCAAATGTGAAAATTGTTTCCGTTATTCTTCTTGCCCTCTTATAGGAACTTCTATTATTTTCTCATTAAATCCATAATGATGTCTTATCCAATCTATTGCATTTGCTCTTGTCCGTCACACATCGTTTTGACTGTTCCGTAAACGGTCACAGGCTCAAAATTACGCATCTACCATAAAGTACACCATGGGCCTACTAAGTATGAATTCTATCAACATTTCCGTAGGTCATATATTTCAAATACTTTGCCTATTAACTACCCCAATAGAAACCATACATTACCGAATGTGACGTTAAAATTGACTGTACATGCCGTATTATTCTAGGCCCAGAGGAAAGTCTGAACCTTTTGGCCGGTCTAGATCCACTAAATATGGCGCCAGATGCCTTTGCGGGTGCCATTTTGGCAGTAGCGGCAGGGTTTGCGGTAGGTGTTCACGTGCACCTGTATATGTGCCCATATGAACCATCTGGTAATAAAAGTGTCAATTTTTGCACCGTAAGCGTAAACAATCTTGCCCTTGTGTTATGGAGATACATGTATAAAGCATTGCCTTTGATTTTTGCTTTTTAATTTTGTTTGCAAAATAGTTGACAACATACCTTATCATTGTGTATATCTTCAATTTGCAACACAACTGATAAGACAGTCTCTTATGTACGGTCTCATATTTCAGAGCGACCCAAATTCTAACGCAACAAAAAACGAAAGCGTCGTCAACGAACTTGCCAGGGTATGTACACAGTTATCCCATGATCATTGTTACTTCACACCATTTTTTACTCTTAAACCATTAATATAGAACTAACGTTACATGTACAGGTACAATGATCAGACTCATTAATGCCCTGTTTGGTAATGCTATATTTAAGCACAAAAATATCTGATATTAACGAAAAAAGTTGTTATGCTTATGTTTTGTGTTTTAGCAAATGACGGCCACCCTACTTCTGTTTTCTACTGGAAATGCTTCACTAAGTCCCAGTGTTGCTTCGGCCGTTACGGGAGGACTTGCAGTAATTCCTGTAGCGGATGAGAATGCCGCTGTAAGTGAATTGTGATGGACAAATTGACAAATTGTTTCTGAATATGAAACATATCTATACACTTACAGTAAACGTGCAATCACTGCGGCCATTTGGTAGTGGGGATTTATTTCACCACAAGCATTGCAAATGGTGCGCTATGTTAGTTTGTGGTCGTCAAGGCCGATGGTCAACTTCAGACCATATTGCCGACTGGCCGATTGGTGGTCTTAATCACGGTTAATTTGAATTGCGATGTCCACTGCTCGCATTTTTATATAATGATGTCACTGACCTAATGCTCATTGTGAGAGCATTGTAAACATGCTGTGTCGATCACCAGAATTTTAAATTATGGATGTAAGATACATATATTCGTTTTTACAGTCTGATATGCTCATAGCTGGGACAAACTTTGTTGCGAAGCTTACGGGAACTGTCGGCGAAATGACAAGTTCTGCAGAAAGTAAGTAAGGTTTTATAACGTTACCACAACGTTTTTTTTTTGCCTGTATAAATGTCATTGTGACGTTAAAATAACGTTCTTTGTTTGCTAGTCAAAAGCCGTGCTAAAAAGTAATGATACAAAACAACGTGCCGCTTAAATGTATTAAGATAACATTACATGATTAATAATAGGTGTATTGAGAACATATCTTATTTATAGCGATTAATGTACTAAGAAGAAAATATTCAAGATTGACATTAACCATTCAGCGCTGTCTTTGTGTGCTAAATGATCTCATCATTATAGCTCTCTCTCTGTAAATTATAACCGGTCGTTATATCTGTTTTGTAGCAAAAATGGCTCAGACCAGATATTTGTTGCGTTTCAGATCTTCTGACAGCCACGGGAAACGTCCTAGGAAGTAAAGAATCTTCATCCTCTTCAAGTTCAACTTCGTCTAGAAAAAGAAGAAGCACAGACTTAGCGAGGGTATCTGCATTGTTGTTGTACCGTATCGGTGTTAAAACAGTTTGTCATATGCCATATATTGCTACTACTGCGACGATTATGGCGGTTCTGTCCTTGCGTATTTTCAGTGGTTGTTTCAATGGGATAATTTCTCATAACGTTCAGCTTAAGCACAGTCTGCACAAGTTGAATTAGTACGACTTATGCAAACGTTTTTAAAGTAGTTTGTTACTGCACAGCTATAAGCGTTAGTAGACAATTAATATTCAAAGTATGACATAAACCACAGCTGGATTGCTATTCCGTCTGCGATTAACTTTGTTAGGGAACATGTTAGAGATTACTTTCTGCTTATGGAAATTTTCATGAAGGAATTTTCCTTTAATTTGCTATGATCACGTAAAATATTTTATCACAGGAAAAGGCAGACGCAGACAAAACGGAGGGCCTGGTCGACGGATTAGGTGGCAAAATGGCGAACGGGATGAACGCGTCGTCTGCTCCTGTCACCATATCTAACACCCAGGTCTCCCTGGGGGTTCAGAAGTCCGACTCTAGCTCCCTGTCTGGTCAGAACATCAGTAATTCCATGTCCAGTGTTGAGATGCCTAGCGTCAACAGTTCGGGAAACGTGGCGGTCAAAGTGAGTACAAGCGAAGTCTATGTAGATTTTGCTGTCATCGTTAACATTTCTAATAGATCATTGAGTTGTAACAGTTGTGGGCAGAGTATACTGATTACATTTTCGACTAATTATCTGTAACAAATATTTTATCCTTGTACATTTGATCGCCCTATATAGCAGATTTTGGTAATTTTATTAGTATGCTGAATATAATAGTGGTACTGTATAGCTTGTCAAAAACGCTTCAAGCACACGGGTGCATGTCCTTGCCACTTGCCCCACATATATTGGCTTCACATTCCATCTAACACGGAACATTCCCTCAATTACTCCTTTCAAGATCGGATCATTTAAGAAGTCACCAAAAAGTTACTCAGACAACGCCAATGACGTCAACTCAGCGAGCGTCAACCTTGACGTCAGAGACGACAACGGTGTGCCCGCAGCGCCATCTACACCAGTCACTATCGCCATGTCCAGTGGTCGAACAGAGCCCCTCCAACAGAACAATGTTACCAATCCAAACGGCAGCACGACATACATTAACTATAAGGTGTCGTCCCCGACGGCGTCAGTGTTCTTTGATATAACCAAAGGTAACCCAAGCACCAACTACACTGTGTTGGGGCAGTATGGCTCTAAACCGAACGCGACAAATTATATCTTCAGGACAGTGTCAGGCCCAAATGATGGAGCTGTTATAAATATTATTATCCCTTCCTATACTAACGCTACTTCTTCGACGGCAAAACGGCGCAGGAGATCGACAAGCACCACCGTGGATTTATTTATAGCAGTAACTGAAGCCCAAGGTAGGTTTAGGTGTAACAAGCGCTTTCTAAGAGTATATTTATAATGCATTTACTTAATATTATCTATTCACTTCTTAGTCAATTACCACAATGGCGAGTATACCGCCACAAGAGTGTAAAACCCCGCCCAGTCAACTGATTGTTTGTTTATTACCATTTTATCAATCATCCGATTCGGTTCTAACACTGTGTCTGTAGATGATAAAGCAATAACATATTCATCAATAACATATTCATATTAAAGTTATTCATTACATAATATTTCAACCTTTGAATCGAAGGCTCTTTGAGTCCAACACTGAACTAAGTATAAAGTTAGTAAATTGACAGCAGCTGACATACAATATTGGCAGTGGCTTTCACTCCTTTAGAAAAACCATATTATTTTTAATCAAAATAATTAATCAAATAAATATGTATAAGTTCTACTTTACCTCATGATGTTATTAGTATACTACTACTACCACTACTACTACTTCTACTACTACTACTGTATGTATCTAATAAATGGAATCAAGTACGAGGTTTTGTTAAACACCATACAAAATGAGAAAGATGTGGTATATCACTTACTATTTACGCATATTTCCTTGATATAACACAGAGATAGGTTATAATACATGTACATTTGTACAAACCAAGTGAATAAGTGCAGCATATAGCAAATATGTCAAACTGTACCCGAATATTTCAGAAAACGGTACCGTGAATGCGTCATCGTCGTTCTCCTATCAGGCCATGGCCGTGGACCCCCGGATGTGGAATGCTGCCACCAATAGCTGGGAGTCTGATCCCGGACTTGAGGTAATACGCATGCGTCATACTACATGTCCTTTACACTAGAAGTCTAAATATATGGATGCCATATATGGAGTTTCGAATATTGAATTATGATGACGATATGACGCCGTATTCAAAAATTACTTGATTAAATTTATTTGAGTTAGGTGGCTTTTGATTGAATGTATATTTTCTAGCGATGTTGAAAAATGAAACTAGACAAGTTATCGACGCTTATAAGCCTACCGGTACTTTGTTTCATCCAGTTGAACTACTGTAGTAGTTGTAAACAAGTAAAGCATGGAAAGTGAATCAAATTGACCTATCCTTCGTGTACATACATATATCCCACCCATGCCAATTAGCCTTTTTCATCTTTTCCGGAAATGGAAATTGCATTGTGGGTAGGGGAGCCCTGCTACGTCGAAACACTTACAGCGGTGCTTAAAACCATGGCTGGGTTTACGTGCTTTTTGTCGCAACTGGGACAATTTTAACCAGTAGTTTACTACCTGTTCAAGTCTATGGGATAAAGACCGTAAGACAAAACGACATGCTTGTATATCTCTCTTTTAAAAAAGATAAAATAGTATGTTCAAAGTTTTCCCTACATTTATTACTCAAAACATTTTTCTCCGTGTGCTATTATGTCTGCCTATTCTTATATTATAGATCATTATACACATATGTGCCAATCGATTTTTGTATAGATATCATCTGATTCTACCCCGGAGAAGGTGGTGTTCAAGAGCAACTTTTTTGGTTCATTTGCTGCGGGATTGTTCGAACCACCGAACACTATCGACTTCGAGGCTGTATTTGCCAACTTCGGAGAACGTCTCCTTGACAACGCATACGTTTTTGGTTTCCTGATTGCTCTGATTGTCATTTATATCCTGACCATTTTCTACTGCCGATGGAAAGATAAAAAAGATAAAGAGTTGGTACGTTCAGACATACATCCACGCGAAGATTAAAATATTACACCTGTTATTTATTTTTTTTTTTCAATACTAGGATAGTTAATATGCACAGTTTTAAAGTTGTTTACCCTTTTTAAAACTTTTGAACCCACCCTTCACAAAATATTTGAAATTTAAGCACTAGAATATATATTTTATAGACTGTACTATCATTCGATGGAAAGGACGTATTGATCTGTTGTCAATTTCATTTTTTTTTTTTTTTTTTTTTTTGCATCTTAGGTATAAGATCATTATTTTCTTGATGATGTAATCAAATTAATTTAGATATATGCCCATATAATATCATTCAATGATGTGCTCTCTGTTGTTTTACAGTGGGCCTATGCTCCCCTAACAGATAATCGACCCAAAGACTCGTACTATTACCGCATCAGTGTGCAGACTGCTGTGCGTTCCGTTTCACGGTGCTCCGCAAACATATTTTTCATTTTACACGGAGAAAACGGAAAGACAAGACCGCGTCATCTAGCGGACGGGGAAAGAAAGGTTCGTGGAGGCTAGATAATGTTTGATTTAAGACAGTTAATTTAATTGACCAATTAAATTTCATTGTTTTTGGCGGTACTTCATGGAAGTAGAATTAAGCGTTACTGCATTGAATAAAAACGTTTTGACAATGTGACTCTCTCTTTCTTCTGCTAGTGTTTTGGAAACGGATCCACCAACAACTTTACCATGGCGGTCCCTAAATATCTGGGCCGACTGAAATATATGCAAGTTTGGATAGACGACACGGGCCCATCTCCCCATTGGTTACCGAATAAGGTCATCATGTACGATATTCAGGAGCGTAAAAGGTAAATGCTATGCGTTCTTACTATATTATATTATGTTATATTATCGTTCATAATTATACAAATCACGAGGCAAACTTAAACGTCTATATACTAGATTTCATTTGAAACCTTTGTAAGCAGAATAAACCAAACGTCTTTCTCAAACTAATGAAGACCATCAAAGGCACTTAATTTTTGGAATTCTATACAGTAACAGAACTGTACTCAATTACATATTTTTTTTACAATTTCGATGCCTGTATTTAATAAGCGCATTAAAATTGATAGCAATTCTTAAATGGAATTTTCCAAAGAAAATACTTTCAAAAGCAATATAATTTTTGAGCAAAAATGTTCATTAGCTTGGTTGTTGGATATACATGAAAATAATGTAACTTTTGTCTATACAGGTTCTACTTTATGGGAAGCCGTTGGCTGTCGGCGACCAAGTCAGACAAAAGAACAAACAGATTACTGAAGAGTCAGACAGAGGATGAGTTTAGGGACTTCAACGCTCTTTTCAGCGAAAACGCCTCCAAGAATTTCTTTGACGATCACCTCTGGGTATCCATATTCAGCCGCCCTACTACTAGCAGGTATGTAGTCAACCAAAGACGTTAGGATAACTAGAATGGCACTGACAAATCATTTCATTTTGATTGAGCATGGATAAGTCGTGTATTTCATTGAATGGAAAGAAACTTACTCTGTTATCATTTTGAACTTTGACTCTCTGCTGTAAAGCAGCACAGCAAAGCTTAGAAAGCAGTTGAACGGTGGCATAATTTCTAATATTTTTGTTTAAGGTTCACTCGTGTGCAGCGTCTGTCGGTGAGCGTGGCCCTATTGTTCTTGGGTATGATAACCAATGCCATGTTCTACAGGGGAGACGACGAAGGATCGTCTTCAAGTGGCCTGCAAATCGGGCCTATTACCATCACATTCAGACAGGTGAGTGTTCAAATAAGGAATTGCCCACACGTAGGCCGACCCACACGTACATGTACATGTAGTCTGGAAACTCAGCAATTGACGTCAGCAAACAATCAGGTTGATAATTATTATATCCGTTTATAGTGACGTCGTTTTTTAATCTTTTAATTGGCCCTGATATAATAGTACCACTCGGCAAAAAGCTCAAGGTTACTTGTAATATCGTCTGGGGCTGAACTTAGTTTGGTTTAACTTTGTACAACATCAGCTAAAGGCAGTTTACGTTTTTTTTTTTTTTTTTTTTTTTTTAATTATTATTTTTAGACGATAATTTTGCCAAATCCAATGTACATTAAACAAGGAATATAAAAGAAATGCCTTTCGGTATTTTACAGATATGGGTTGGACTTGTCGGCGCCTTGATTGTCCTGCCACCAGCTGTGATAATGATCGAGATATTCCGTCGGTCTCGGGAAAGAAAGCGCTCTAAGATTCCAGCATGGACCGTCGTAGCTGAGGCAAACATCAACTCTTCTGGTCCTCGTATTGGACTTGAGGGGAGCAAGTGTGATCTCTCGGGCGATTTGAAGAAACACAGTTGTGAAAATGTCAACGAGGTCGATGGATTATCAGGGAAGGGCTCTGATGAGGGAATTGGTAGTTTAGGTGGTTTGGGGTCACAAAAAGATTTACAGCCAGTGGCCACTGTGTCTGACATCCACATTCCATACACATCTCCGGCCTTGCCGCCTCAATATCAGGATATCTATTACGACAAGACGGAAGGCAGTGATGACACGGACCTGTTAATGGCATTCGCACTCCAGCCTTCATCAAACGAAGATTTTATGAATACATTGGATCATCTCGATGAATCGAAGAAAAAGAAGAAACCAAAAGGGCCACTGACTTTGCCCTGGGGATTCGTGATTATCGGGTACATTATTGTGTTTTTGTCTATTGCGGCCTCGGCTTTCTTTACACTCCTGTACAGCCTTCAGTGGGGGAAGGAGAAGTCGCTTGGCTGGTTGCTGTCCATGTTCTTTACCATAGTGCAGTCTTTGATACTGGTACAGCCAGTAAAGGTAAGAAACTATCATTTCTCGATGTTTTTTTTCTTTCTTTCTTTTATTTACTTGTTTTGCTGTTGTTTATCTGAATCAAATAAGAAAAGTGCAGTAAGCGAATGACAAAAAATATTTTGACTTAGTGTACTGTGTTTAGGTGACGCTTTAGATGTTTTGAAATTAGAAAACAATAACCATTTATGTAACTTAATTTGTCATTTATAAATCATTTAGACTAATATATATATATATATATATATATATATATATATATATATATATATATATATATATTGGATTTAAAATGTCTACTTTACGAAGTTTCATATCGGAATGCCAAATCATAATATTAATATTTCAGGTTGTGCTGATGGCCGTGGTGTTTTCCTGCTTTATGAAGTTACCAGCTGTAGAGGATGAAGATGACGTAAACATGGATGACGTCACAGTGTTGAGGTCAACGCCTCTCCCTGTTCCCGGTATGACGTCATTATATAGTGGCGAGTTATACAGGATTTTGTTGTCATTTTATGTCCTTTTTACATTCTTCTACGACTCAACTACCTCTTATTCATGCTGTTAATGACATAAGTATACCTCTAAAGGTGAAGTTTATTCTTGGGTCGACCAATGTCTAGTTTTGCTAACAAATATACTAGTAAATCTCAATATGGAAAGAATAATTTATTTTGATCATTGATTTTCAGTGACGATCATTGTCCCACGTAATCTGGAGTCTCCAGATGACGCCCCAGACGACGTGGAAATAAGACAGAAGAAAATAAAGCTAGAAGAGAAGATGATGTCCAACTTCAAAAGCATCTTTGTTCACCTCGTCCATCTTTGTTTACTGCTGATCATAGCGTTCAGCAATAGGGACGACAACTTCTTCTTACAGAACGAAGCACTAGTAAAAGGATTGTCCTTGGAGGACACATCGG